GGGTTTATACCTAGTTGAGGGTATCCTGCTCCACCGTCAATTGAGGAAATTACTCAGTGGGTAGCAGGTGGTGGCAGCGTAATTCAGAGTTGCAGTGTAACATAGAAGGGTACAGTATTCTCGACTCGTGACATCTAAACGATCAAACGTTTAGGTCTTGAGGAGATGAACTGAAGGTTATACAGTAGAACTCTAGTTTAATAACGACCAGCATTTAACCAGTAAGTGAGTTTAAAGGTTGGCCCCCGTTACAATGGTGCACAGCGGTGGTTTCACCAATTTTGTTTAAAAATTGCTGAAAGCTCATGAGTCTTAGCTATTTGGTCACGTGTGTAGGGGTTAGGGAGGTCAGCCGAGGGCCCACGAACCAGAATTAGCAGTTCACCCCACAACAGTAGCGATTGAGTGGAGCTTGCAAACTTTTGGGGTGGTGAGGGGCTAATAGTATTAAGAATTTGGTGGTTACGTTTAGGCTGTTAAGATTGTATTGGGTAAGGAGACCGCTTTGAATTAATTGAACTGGGTACCTTACTCGACCCTTTTCAGTTGGTTCGGAGGTGTTAGGAGCCACCATATTCTCAACAGCAGTTGCTTGTGGGCTGTCTGGGCGGATTAATCTGTGGGACGCCAGGGGATTTATCAGAGGTCGTTGTTAGACGACCCAAACCGCTGAGAAAAACGTAAAATTAATGAAGGTAGTTGCAGCTACTGAGGGATGGGCTAGTAAACTACTTAGCACCGATTCAATGACTAAGTGATCGCACATTTAGTAGAGGTTGTGTCGTATCTAGTCTAATTGTTGCCGAAAGCAGCGTGCCGTTCTGTTGGAATCTAGGTGGTCGCGGCCCTCTAGACTAGGTGCGGTAATGCGAGCCAGTAGGGGCGATTATAGGATTAAGTAGTGATTCTTTGGATTAGGTTTAGTCAAACGTGATATAAAGTATTCCCCCCCCCCCTCCCCTTTGTGTCTTTCTAGGTATTATTATTTCCCCCTTTTTAGAGTGTTATTGTATTCTCCCTGACGCTAGTCGATGTCCACAAATTTTATTTCTATGTCCCAATATAAATTTCTATGTCCCAATATCAAAGTCAGAGGTGAAGTTTCAGAAGTTGGTTAATCCTCTGGGCTTAGTACTTCCTGTCCGGTTAGTAACTGTACGAAGAGTGAATTTATTGAATTAAGTGATAGTGTTTTTGTCGAAAAAGTTTGAAAGACTTGGTGGAAAATTTCAACAAAAATTTTGTGATGGAATTTTGTCAGTCCACTTGGTTAAATTGGGTTAACTGAGGTTAATTCAAATTTGTGGGTTAAGGGTAAGATCCGGATATAATTAGGATTCCTTAGTCGGTGGTAGTAATGTATTCAAGGTATTCTAGTTTTAACGTTAGGAATGTAGAATTCAATATTTTAGAATTAAATAAGTTTTCGGAAAATTTTGATTGGATAAATTTTCTAAGTCCAGTTTGGGGCAGAACCACGGATTTTGGCCGTCCAACGGCCAAATTATCCCTATTATCCCTTCGACCGCTTCAGTAATATAATTATTGTATTCCCATCAAGAAATCATGAGGTGAATTTTGCCGACTTAGGCGAATTTTCGAAGAATTGGTAATAGGAAAATTTTCAGAGTCCAGTTTGTGGAATAATGCAGTTTTTGGTGAAAATCAAAATTTTCATGTTTAGTAAGTGTTCCAGGGCCAGTATTATTCTCTGGAGCACGCAAGTAATTATGGTCTAAACATCCGGAATTTGTAATTAGAATTTTGCCCAGTTAAGAGATATTTCGAGGAAAATTGTGTTGTGGAAAATTCTAAGTCCAGTGTTGTACTAGAATCACAGATTTTGAGAAATTCGAATTGTGGGTGAAATAAATGTCCATTAGTTCAGGGTTGTTCTGTAGGCTTTGCCAGTTAGAGGAAATTTTGTTTTCATCACGGTAGAGAAAAATTCGTCTTTGTCGATTTAAACGCGATTTCTATATTTTCGTGACGGAAAAATTTTCAGTCCAGTCATCTGGAAACTCGGATTTTGTTGAAAATTCGATTTCGTGGGTAAAGTGAACGTACGAGATATAAGTGCTAGACCATCGACCTTGCCAGTCAGAATTTTTGTGTTAACATCAGTGATGAGAAAATAGATTTTGGCAATTTAAGCGAGTTTTCACGATTGGTGATAGAATTTTTCAGTCGTTTGGGTGAAAACCTCAGATTTTTACGAAAATTCGAATTCAAGAGTATTGAGAACGACCAAGGGGTCAGTGTTGTTCTGTGAACCTCGCCCGTTATAAGAAATAGTGTGCTTATATCGGGGAAGCAAAATTTGATTTTGGTCGAAGTAAGAGTTTGCAATATTTTGTTAAAAAAAAAAAAAAATCCAGTTTGAGAAAATGCAGTTTTGGTGAAAATTCAAATTTTCATGTCAATTTAATGTGCCAGGACTAGTATTATTCTCTAGAGCACGCAAGTAACATAATGATTGTCTTAACATCAGGAATTTGTAATTAGATTTTTGGCCAGTTAAGGGATATTTCGAAGATTTTGTGTTAGAAAATTGTTCAGAGTCCAGTTTGTGAGAAACTGCAGTTTTTGGTGATAATTCGAATTGGTAAGACGATAAGACGAGTGCATGTCCCGGGTGTCTGTTTTATTTATTAGAGCGTGCTATTAACGTAAACCTTGTTTTCTACTTCGGAGATACCAATTTGATTTTTAAGCGTTTAAGCGAAAAAACACAGGACTTGTGTTTTTAGCGAGGCTGAACGCTCTATCCAAAGTCAGTGGCCACTCTGTTCCCTTCAATTTCATCTAGTATACGAGTGCAATATCTTCATTATTAGTCCATCACGAGTCCTGCACGATAGTAAATTTAGTTTTGTTTAATTTTTACGGAAATAGGATTCTTTAATTCTTATTGAGAGTTCGCATCTCAGTTTCAAGTCAAACGACCGCGGATTCCTTCACAATCTGGTACTAGTGCAGTGCATGCTCCTTCATCAATTGGTTTAACTTGAGCGATTCTCTCAAATAATCAATGTAATTTTTATTTTTAGGAATTAAGATATTTTTTCTTTCGAAAATTGAGCTGAAAATTCTGAGTAGTATTTGTGAAAATCTCATTTGTAGTGGGAACCCGGGTCGTGTGTGAGGTGTATGGTGGTTACAAGAGGCATGGCGCACCGGGAAATACAGAGGATTTTTAACCCGGGCAGGAACCAGTCAGTAGGGGTCATAAGGGGTGCACGCTTAGTGGAGAGCACCCCTTCTGGTACTACGGGGGCCGGATTGACCGCTCAGGCAGCCTAGCTGGAGTTACAGGTGGATTCAGTGGAGCTGGGGAGATGGCACCACTTGTTCTGAGTATGACTGGGGAGTCTGGGGTACCTTCACGTCCCAGTAATGACACGGTGGTGGATATGAGTTGGGAATCCTTAGGGGGATTCGTCCCAAGATTGGGGAGAGCCGTCTCGGGGTCCCCCACCCACAACATCGACACCATTCCAATAGGGGTTACAGGGTGATGGGCAGAGGGCGTCGTTTTGCGTGGTATGGCGTCCCTCTCAGCTAAGTGGGGAACACCACCAACAACCAGTACATTTAGAACATGCACCAGACTCACAGCAGACACAACCTCAGGTAACACCACTACCAGAACATCAACTTCATCCACAACTACAACCTCAAATTCAACCCCAACCATCACCACAACATCAACCTCAGTCTTCCCCCAACCCCAGATCACCCAGCCCCAACCTCAACCTCTATGCCAACCACAGTCCACCCAACCCCCAACCCCTATACCAACCCCAGGCTGCCCAAACCTCAACCCCTATACCATCCCCAGAACACCCAGTCCGACCTCAACCCCAGGCCACCCAACCCCAACCCCTATACCAACCCCAGGCTACCCAACCTCCACCCCTATGCCAACTCCAACCTCCACCTCTATGCCAACCCCAACCTCCACCTCTGTGCCAACCCCAACATCCACCTCTATGCCAACCCCAACATCCACCTCTATGCCAACCCCAACCTCCACCCCTATGCCAATCCCAGACCACCCAACCCCAACCACTATACCAACCCCAGGCCACCCAATCCCAACCTTAACCCTTATGCCATCCCCCAGGCCACCCAACCCCAACCTCTGCCCCTATACCAACCCCAGGCCACCCAACCCCAACACCAACTCAAGGCCAGCCAACCCCAGGTCACCCAATCCCAACCTCAACTCCTATACCAACCCCAGGCCACCCAACCTCAACCTCAACACAACACCAACTCAGACCATCCAATACCTACTCCAACCCTAAGCAACTCACGCCATACCCCAACCCCAGGCAACCCAGAGCCAACCTTAATTCCTATACCAATCCCAGGTCACCCAACTCCAGCTTCAACCCCTATGCCAACCCCAAGCCGCCCAACCCCAACTCCAAACCCAGACCACCCAATACCTTCTCCAAGCCACCCACACCATACCCTAACCCCAGGGAGCCAATCCCCAACCTCAATCTCAACAACAACAATAACAACAGCAGGCCACCCAACCCCAACCTCAACTCATATGCCAACCCCAAGCCATCCAACCCCAACACCAAACCCCCAAGCCATTCGCACCATACCCCAACCCCAGGCAACCCAAACCCAACCTAAACTCCTATACCAACTCCAGGCCACCCAACCCCAACCCCTATACCAATCTCAACCTCAACCTGTATACTAACCCTAGGCCACCCAACCTCAACCCCCAACACCAAACCCAAACCACCCAATACCTACTCCAACCCCAAGCCACCCACACCATACCCCAACCCCAGGCAACCCAGCTCCACCCTCAATTCCTATACCAACCCCAAGCCACCCATTTCCAACCTCAATCCCAGGTAATGCAATACCTACTTCAACCCCAAACCACCCCATTCCTAGCTGAACCTGGGGTATATCCCACACTTAACAAACCCTTCTTGGTCCTAGCAAGGATTATGAGTCCGATTCCGAAGATGACCCTGCCGACACTCATAGGTACGGAGTTGCTGTTCAACAAGGTGGAAGGCAACCGCCGAGTGGAGGACTGGTTGTGGAAAATGAGTGCAATGCTGGAGGCCATCCCAAATGATGGTCTGAAAATTATCCTCGCCACTGGGGTTTGCGTGGACATAGCCGGTCCACTGACGAGGCTGAAAGAATTTCGGCACCTGACGACGTGGCCTCAGTTTGTCCAGGTGATTAGGGACAAGTATGAAGAGAAAGTGACGGCTGATGAGGCTCCAGTATACTTTGTCCCTTAAGAGGGACAACTGTGGTACATTAAAGGATTTTGGTACCCTGATAATGAGTAGGGTTGACGACCTTACCAAGGAACTTGGGTACGATAAGGGTCAGGAGGAACGCCTAGCTAAACACTTGTTCTGTAGGGTTTTGCCTACTACCATGGGCCCGTTCATCTCTGCGGAAGGGGCATTATTGAGTTTCAAGGAATTCGTCCAACACGCCGCCTCAGTATGGGACATAGGAATGAGAACGGAGAGTACTGGGCTCAGTCGTCCCCATATGTTGAGGCGTTGCGAAAAGAAGAGGGGGCAGGGAAGACGAATGACTATAGTGGGTTCGTCAGGTAAGAAACCGACCACGGTTGCACGTTCGAGCCACCCTGCACGGGGTGCCAACTGGTAACCGTGGACGAGTTATTCGTGTGGAAAGCGCGGACACGTACAGATGGATTGTTCGGATGTAAAAACAAAGGAATGAAAGGTTGCCCCTAGTGATGGTAGGCCTACTTTTGAAGTAGAGGTGGAAGGTGTGAGATTCACAGTTTTTGTGGACCCCGGAAGTCAAGCAATTCTAATTAAAAAGTCAGCCTACAGCAAATTTAAATATGCACAGTAGAAAAAAAATTAACGGCTGTAAATGGGGAAAAGATTGATATCTTGGGTCAAAGTACCATTAACTTTGAAATTAAGGGGGAATTGCAACCCCATACATGTACGATCGTTAAGAATCTTGATTTTCCTGGAGACATCCTCATGGGAACTGATTTTCTGTATCGGTTTAATTATGCCTTGTCTGCACAGAAAGGGGCAATGAACTGCAGATTGCAGTTGGGACAGGTTTCCTACCCAGTGGAGATGATCGAACATCCTCCAGTTGTGGCTTCAATAAAGAGGAATCAGAAATATAACGCACACTACCCAAAATTGATTTTAAGTCTCTTCCAGATACAGTGAGTAGGTCATGCGGTTTATATCCATTGACCAAGCAAAGTTGCCCCACCACATTCTGTTAAATTCATTAAAGTAGCTGTGGGCCGGCACATCCTACCAGGTACCACCCTTCAGATGGCTGGAAGATGCGACAGGTTATTAGTTCCCCATCGTCTAATTGTGGTGCTTGATAAAGGGGCACTCATTCCAGTCGTCAATCTCTCACATAAGACTTTTCGTTTTAGGACGGGTGATACGGTATCTCAGGGAACTATGGTGAATGACAGAAATTTTTCACCATGAGTCAGCTGAGATGCCACCCGTCACAGCACAATGTAGTGATTTAAATATGATAGACAACAATAAACCATCAAAGATGAAGAATGAGACAGATGTTTCGAGTAACATACAAGATTTTGATAAGTTGATCTCGGCACTCGATTTACAACATGTCCCGCTGACTGATAGAAAACTGCTGAGATGGATTTTACATAAATTCCCAAAATTGTTTGCAACCGAGGATGACCAGATTGGTCTCCTTGATAGGATTGAGCACACAATTCCAACAGGTGATCACGTACCTGTGTATACAAGGCAGTGGAAGTTGCCAGAACAGGCTAAGAAAACTATTAGGGATGAGTGCCAAAAAATGTTGAGACAGGATGTGATCGAACCTAGCACATCGCCTTGGCTGTCTCCTGTTGTGATAGTTCGTAAACCAGATGGTAGTTATCGCTTTTGTGTGGACTACCGGAAGGTAAACGAAATAACTAAGGGGGATGTGTATCATTTGCCCCGAATTCAGGAGATTATAAGATAAATTTGGGGCTGCTAAGTATTTTTCAATTCTCGATGCTAAGTCGGCATATTGGGCGATACTGGAAGCTGAAAAAGATGGGGAGAAAACAGCATTCTCTGATGGCAGGCATACTTACCAATTTTGTAGGATGCCTTTTGACCTTAAGACAGTTCGTTCGTCATTTCAGAGGGCCATTAACTTTATCCTCAGCTCAGTTTTGGGAAGGCAAAAAAGAAGTTAGCGTACCTGGATGATGTAGTAATCTATTCCAGGACGTTCGATGAGCACTTACGAGACTTGACTGAGACTTTGACCTTGTTAGATCGAGCGGGTTTTAAATTAGGTGTACAGAAGTGCACACTGGCTGCTCAGAAAATCAAATTTCTGGGATTCCAGGTGAGCACAGACGGTATCAGGCCTGACCCTGACTCTTGCCGCGCCATTGCTGAAATGCCAACTCCAAGAACAGCAAAGGACGTGCGCAGGTTTCTGGGTGCAGCCGGATACTTTCGTCGTCACGTTGAGGGTTTTGCAAGAACATCAGCACCTCTGACCAATTTAACAAGGAAAAATGTAAAGTTTATTTGGAAGCCATAACATGATGTAGCTTATGCCAAAATGAAAAGTCAACTCAGTACAACACCAGTATTGGCGGTGCCTGATTTTGATAGAGTGGGAAGTACATACAGACACCAGTGGTATCGCTATTGGTGGATCTTTGATGCAAATTTTCACTTGATGCCAGTCAAAATATACCCCATCCAGTGGCCTATTTCAGTAGAAAGGTCAAGGGACCAGAGGTTCGTTATTTGGCAACGGATTGGGAGGCGCTCGCATTGGTAGTCAGATATTTTGAACCTTATCTTTTCATCGCCATTTTGTAATCTACACTGATCACAGAGCATTAACGCACATTTTTAAGAAACGTACAAAATGCCCACGGATGTCACCCTGGTCTCACAAATTGTCTGCACACTTATTCCAGATCCTTTACAAGCCTGTGCCGTCACATGTAGTGCCGGATACTTTAAGCAGAAACATTGCTGCTATTAACGTAAATATAATATCGAAATTATTTCCAATGTTAAGATGAGAGAATTCCAAATGAATGAGCCTAGGTGGAAAGATATTATTGAATATTTGGAAGGGGGAAATTATTCGTCCAAAAATCGTAAATTGCCAATACATGAATTCGAGTTAAAGCAGGGAGTCCTATATTATGTAAATAGTCAGGCAGATAGAGCAGTATTCCAGCTAGTTATTCCAGATATATTAAGATCGGCAGCATTAAAGCTGGCACATGCATCTAAGGTTGCAGGTCACCCAAGTATCTTTAAAACTCGATTAAAAGCAAAGTCTCTCTTTTTATTTCCCAGGTATGTTGTCAGAAGTAATTAAGTACGTCAAGACTTGCTTCAGTTGCCAGAGGAGAAAAGGTGCCCTTAAGGTACAAGCCCCACTTCAGGAATTTCCAGAGATTTCAGAACCGCTAGATAGAGTGGGGGCCGATTTAATTGATCTACATTGCAGCCATTCAGGCAATCAGTACGTGTTGGTATTAGTGGACCATTTGTCCAGATACACCACTTTGATAGCCATCCCTCAAAAGGAGTCTCGTACTGTTGTCCGAGAATTTTTTCATAGGTTTGTCTTTGGGCCTCCTAAAGTATTTGTTTTGGACCGAGGTCAGGAATTTAATGGGCATATATTTAAGGAAGTTTGTAAGATCTTGGAGACAACTTCAGCCTTTACAACAGCTTACCACCCTCAGGCAAACGGGATGACAGAACGGACCAATCATAAGGATATGCTTGCAATCCTTGCTGAACACGATGCAAACTCGTGAGACGAACACCTGCCCTATGTTCAGCTGGCTCTGAATACTGCTATCCACCAGTCTATTAATACTCAACCCCTGCTATTGTTCACTGGTCAATCGTGCAATTTCCTATGAGGTCAGCTTAACAGACACATGTTGCATATGGAGAGGACTATCCTTCAGAAGTTCTCAATAAAATGAGGAATGTTTGGAGAATTGCAGCGGAGGCTTCAAGAAAAGCATGGGGTAGATATGCTTACTATTATGACAGGAATGTACGACCTCTGGAATTGAAGGAGGGTAGCCTTGTCTTGAGAATCAATGAAGCTGCACCCGCCAATCAGAGTAGGAAACTAGCTTCTAGATGGCGGGGGGGGGGGGGGGGAGCATACAGTGATCATGAAAGCAGGCCCTGTCAATTTTGCCATAATGGAAGTATTTGAGGATCAGGTGGAAAGAACTGTCCACATTAGTAAGTTGAAGATATATCATGCTAGGGAAGAACTAGAATTGCCTTCAGCAAGTCTAATTCCTGACCAACCGGAGCTGACTGATAACTCAAGTTACGAGTCAGATGGGGAGAATGACCCTCTGTCATCTCTCATCAGTAGTCAGGTGCACTCTCGTCACCCCCATGGTAATAAGATCTCTCACTGTACAGTAAAGGTTAAAGTAACTCCCTTAGTTAGTATAATTTGGAATTCATTAGATTTTCCTGTAGAGGCAATGATGTGGATTTCTTAACTGTGCTTAACTCGGATAGCAGACTTCACCTTGCTCTGGAGTTTTCCAACAAACCCAGAGTTATATCTATGCTTCCGCCATGTTGTCTGTCTTGTCAGTGTGTGTTGAAGACATCCTGGGGTCAATATCTCTAAGGGCAAGACTGAACAACTGTTCTACCGTGATATTTTAAGGTATCTGTATCTGAAGTTTTAGTATAGTGTAGAAATCCACATTAATTATTGAAGTTAATTTACCTATTGCCTCAGTTAGGAAATTATTCAGTAGGAAGTGTTCCGATTGGGCTTTATTAATTTTTATTTTATAACCTTTGACTTAATAAATCGTTTATAGAATTTATGGTATTTAGTGGAATGTCCCCTCAACGTGTATTTTATAATTTGTTGATGGGCTCAAGCCCCATGTCTAAGACTGAGCATCCTCTACTAGCCTGCAAGCATTGATTTAATTTTGCAGATAATCTCTTTTTACTTAGATATAATTTCCACACTTAACGTAAATCTTATCCCTCCTTTTCCGATAACTGGGGATCCATTTTAGAGGTTTATCCCCCTCCTCATCCCGCACATTGGCGCCGTGAGGGGGATTGGTGGTCGGCTGACGAAGTGTGATGTTTTATGGGACAGTCCTCTGTGCTTTTGTGGCCTTATGCTCCTGCTGCTGTCTTCTCCAATTGTGCCAGATCGTTTTTCCTTTTCCTTATGTTTCGTTTTTCTCCCCCCCCCCCTCTCTTATCTGCTTGTCTTTTCCTGGTGACCTTTTGCTTGTTTTGGTTATTCTTTTGGACTTCTTCTATTTTCACGCCCGGGTGCTTGGGGAGGCATACACTTGCACCTGTAGAACTGTAGTACCCAACGTCGAGAGCGATGGGAACCTTTTATTGTCAATCCTCCTTTCGTCACTGAACCCGATCTCGACGGACTGATGGTTCTTAAGGTGGCATTTGTAGGGCGTATACTGACGATGCACCCCTAGGGGGCCCCGACATGATCGGCGATTGCTTCTTGTTGGGTGTCCTTCCTCTAATTGGGGCTCCATGGTGGATGTGGGGGCACATTGGTGAATGAAAGTGTTTCATCTCGTCTATATGTCTGTAAATGTTCCTCTTGTACCCTCTCAAGGCTCGTGCGGTGGGTGACCAAGCCCCCGAGTCGGACTGTATTGGAAGACCGGGCTCTGTAGCTCCCGCTGCATTGGGCCCCGACCTTGCTCCTCCTTTGACCCTTCTGACTACTCCCCTCGGTTCCCCTCCCTCCTCTGTGGTTGGGTCTAGCCCCAAGCCCCCAGTGGTGACCACCTCGTCCCCTGGCACGGCTCAGTCTCTAGTTGTGACTTCTGCACCTTTTAACCCCCTTTCTCTCTCTGAGGTTTCTCAACGCCATCCGCACTCGCTAGATTCCTTCCCATACTGATGCATATCAAGCCTTGTTTGGTCCCGCTTCGTGGGCCAAATACTTTGATCTCCTCCCTCTTGATTCTTCACCTCCTGATGATTTCGCCCTCCATAGGCACCTTGTTGATTCTGTAGATGCCTCTGTTACTTTCCACCCATCTTGGTTTCCCCCACCCATTACTCTCCATCTTGGTACAAGTGTCGTTGCTGCGCCTTATCAGGATGCAGCGTCCCACTTGGCCGCCTTGTCTTGCCTTGGCGAGACCCCTGTTCGGGTCTCCAAGAACGCTCGGTTGAATGCCAGTGTTGGCAATATTCTCCTACCACCTCATGTTGCAACCTGTGTTCGAAATCTGAAGGACTACCACGAAGATATAAAGCGTATCCTCGAGGCCCAGGGCCATTCTGTCCTTCCGGTAGACTACGTTTACTCGTCCCCCTCATGGTCGTCACCATCAACCCCTTCGGGTTGTGAACATTACCTCTGATGGTAGGACCCTTCCGCCCTCTGTCATTCTTGCTGGTGCCAGGTGCTCTGTCCAGGAGTACATTCGTTCTCCTCTGCTCTATAATAAGTGCTGGAGGTTTGGGCATGGTGCCCTCAGCTGCTCTGAAACTGTCTCTCTCTGTCCTTGTGTTGGGGGGAAGGTCACTCTAAGTCGAGTGCACTTCTCCACAGGCTCGCTGCCTTAACTGCGGTGAGGCCCATCCTACCTTCTCCCGTGCGTGTATCCATTACAAGCTTGAGGCGGCCGTCCTCAACTTGAAGCACCGGGAGCGTTTCTTTTTTCCTGAGGCGAGGCGCCAGGTTCGCCGGCTCCTGCCTTATGTTAACGTCTCTTGTGCTCGCGTGTTGCGCTCTTCCTCTCGTCCTTCCCACCTTCCTCAGACTCACGACCGTTTCCAGGCCTTGGACCCAGATGCGCCCACTGACCCCACCTCTGTTCCTTTGAGTTCTGTCCCGAAGGGTTCCCCTCCTGGTCCTCTGTCTGGGGCTCCCCTTCTTTCTGCCCGGTCTGCTATGTCTCCTGTGTCTTCCTCGTCTCCTTCCGATCTCCTTACCATCCTTCTCCATTGACTCTCCCCGCCGCCTGTCAGTGCGGGCTGATGTCCATCGCTCTCCAAATGGCCGGCGTGTGCTCTTGTTCAGCTTCTCCTGTCGAGATGCTGGAATCCGTTGTCCAGTACGTAGTTGCTGGGACACCTGTCTCTTTAAGTCAGAAGCGTAAGCCTGGCTCCTCTCCTTCCTCCTCCCTGGCAGGTTAGAAGGCTTTGCTTTCTTCCTCAGCCCCTACTTCTTACTCTATCGCTCTTCCCGTTTCCCCTCCCATTTACCTGGTTGATGGGGTTCTGGGAGTTCTTCTACTCCCCAAGCCCGGCCCGAGGCCAGGCTCGACTTGAGAGTTTGGTCCACCAGGCTGTTGCTTGGAGCGGCCTGCAGGCCCACATACCCACCACAGCCCGGTTGGTCCGGCACTCCTTGGAGGAATAAATCTAGTTTCCTCTTGAAAATGTCCACGGTTGTTCCGGCAATATTTCTTATGCTTGCTGGGAGGACGTTGAACAACCGCGGACTTCTGATGTTTATACAGTGTTCTCTGATTGTGCCTATGGCACCTCTGCTCTTCATTGGTTCTATTCTACATTTTCTTCCATGTCGTTCACTCCAGTACGTTGTTATTTTACCGTGTAGATTTGGTACTTGGCCCTCCAGTATCTTCCAGGTGTATATTATTTGATATCTCTCTCGTCTTCTTTCTAGTGAGTACATTTGGAGGGCTTTGAGACGATCCCAATAATTTAGGTGCTTTATTGCGTCTATGCGTGCCGTATATGTTCTCTGTATTCCCTCTATTTCAGCAATCTCTCCTGCTTTGAAGGGGGAAGTGAGTACTGAGCAGTACTAAAGACGGGACAACACAAGTGCCTTGAAGAGTACAACCATTGTGATGGGATCCCTGGATTTGAAAGTTCTCGTAATCCATCCTATCATTTTTCTGGCTGTCGCAATATTTGCTTGGTTATGCTCCTTAAACGTTAGGTCGTCAGACATTATTATTCCCAAATCCTTTACATGCTGTTTTCCTACTATGGGTACATTTGATTGTGTTTTGTACTCTGTATTATGTTTAAGGTCCTCATTTTTACCGTACCTGAGTACCTGGAATTTATCACTGTTAAACATCATGTTATTTTCTGATGCCCAGTCGAAAACTTTATTAATATCAGCTTGAAGTTTTTCAATGTCCTCAGCCGAGGTAATTTTCATACTGATTTTTGTCATCTGCAAAGGATGATACGAAGCTGTGACTTGTATTTTTGTCTATATCTGATATGAGAATAAGGAAAAGCAGTGGTGCAAGGACTGTACCCTGAGGTACAGAGCTTTTCACTGCACTTGGACTAGATTTTATATGGTTGACAGTTACTCGCTGAGTCCTGTTTGACAGAAAACTGAGTATCCAGCGTCCTACTTTACCGGTTATTCCCATTGACTTCATTTTGTGTGCTATCACGCCATGGTCACATTTATCGAAGGCCTTTGCGAAGTCCGTGTATATCACATCAGCATTCTGTTTCTCTTCTAATGCCTCAGTGACTTTGTCGTAGTGCTCAAGTAGCTGTGAGAGGCACGATCTTCCCGCTCGAAATCCATGTTGGCCTGGGTTGTGAAGGTCATTGGTCTCCATGAAATTGGTGACCTGACTCCTAATCACTCTCTCAAATACTGTTATGATGAGCGATGTTAGTGCAACTGGTCTATAATTCTTTGCCAATGCTTTGCTCCATCCCTTGTGTAGAGGGGCTATGTCTGCTACTTTAAGCGCATCTGGTATCTCCCCCGTGTCCAAGCTCTTCCTCCACACTATACCGAGTGCCTGTGCTACCG